TTATAGTAATGGATTAAATAAAACTACTAACTTGAAGTATTACTAGTTCAATAATCAAAAATTAATGAAATCATTGATTATCAATTCAGAACAATTAATTCATTGGTAATGAAGATTGAAAATTTTTTGTCTTATTAATTTTAATTGCGAATTTCGGATCAATGTAATTGTTGTGCATTATTCATCTTTCCGATGTCAGTGGAGATAAATAATTAAATTTTGTAAAAAAAATATTGAAATGTTTTATTAATTCAAATAGCAAGTTAAATTTTTTCATTTTATTGCAGACATTATTTGCTTGATTAGTGATAACTAATAGTTATCGGTAGTTGAAAAGTGATAAAAACAAATGACGGCAGTGCGTGATTCGTTGTGTAATATGGAACCGGTACAGATTCCAAGGCCGCAAATTTCTGGCTTACAATTTATTCCAACGAGAGGTCGATTGGGATTCTATGCGGTTTAATCATTTCTTTTTTTCTTTTATTTGATATTATCATGTAATTTTCTATTATATTATACAATATATATATACAATCGTTTAAATATTGTTAGCTAGTTCAAAATAGTCTTTTTTCTTTTTTTAAAAGTTTATAAGCTTTATAGACCATTCGTCGCGATGGTGAAAAATATGGTGTTGAAATAAAACCGATCGGACCACGAAGACCAGTCTTATCAGATGGTTTATTTATAGATGATAGTAACATTCCGAAGTCATCAAATAGCAAAATTGATGAGCCTCTGAAGAAGCAAAATGCAAAATGCTTATCGGAACAAGTATATATCGTCTATTAGACTTAATTCTAATTACTTTTCAAATTCTGTTGTATGATTTCGAGATTGATGAAATAAATTAGTTTTAAACTATGAAATTGTGAAATTACTATTAAATTATTTTTTAGTTAAAATATGCTAGCCATTCCTGTATCATTTCATTGTGATGAATTTAGCACCTTATAATTAAATAAATTAAGTCTTTGCAATGATAAAGTGGAGTGATAATTTTATTATAGGATTTGCAATCAGTAAAGTTGTCGAATTCGTCAGCAACTACTTCCAAACCATCGCTACCAGTACCGGATTATGAGAGAATTAATTTGAATAAACAATGAGTCATTGGTATATGATGAATTTTCCACATTTTGTGAAACTTAGGATTAAATTTGAAAAAAAATTTGGAAAAAAAAATTTTCAAAGTTTAATATGAATAATGTAAGAGTAATACTCCATTTTACATCCTTTTTTCCCCTAAATTTTATCAATTTTCTTATCTCGCCATTTTTTTTTCAGAAATATTTATAATCGGGTAGTTATTGCTATTATGAATAATAGTTTGCATAATAAATTTCAATAATTTTAATTTTATTTGCTGCTTTTTTTGCATATGTTCGGATAAAGCAATCATTTTACGCGTTAATTTTTTTGCATTGGAACTTTGTAAACAGATAGCATTACAAACCAAGTGATATTTTGGCCGGAATTCATAGAAAATAGTAGTAGACTGCATTAATTATACATAGTCAATTCTTGAACGTGAAAAAAGAAAAATAACTTGACATGTTATTCTTTACGCTTGTGTGAGAAAAAAGCAAATGCATGGAGGAAGATATGCAAGTTACGTCATGTGCAATAGTTGTTTACGTGTTATGTGATATCAAACATCTCTCTATAATAAATGATTCCAGTGGATATTTGCAGTGACGCATGTAAAACGTACTCATGACGCACGTAAGAAAATACGCTATATCAGTGAAGGGGTTGAAAGGAAAACTTTTTTATGATGAATAAATATTTCATTTGTTTGTGTTTACATATAAGCAAATTTCATCATTTAGTTCTTATAAATGATTTTGCTTAACATTTATTTGTCATTATTTAATCATGAAGAATCAATGGTGTGTGTGTGTATGACTTTTTTTTAAAAAAAAATGAATTTTGATTTCAAAATACTTTTAGGAGAAATTGTTACATCAAACTATTTCCAGAATGACTGAAACGTGTTAAATAATTCCATCAAATAATATTACAATTAAATTGTTTTGAATTTTGCAGTTCTCTCTACCTGTAGATTAACTGTTTTTCCATCACTTTCATTTTACATGTTCGAAAAATCATGGTGGGTCGAAAAAAAAATTTGGTCGAAAAATCATGTTTAGCTTTTTTATGGATTATATTGGAATATTGTAATCTTGTGGCCATTTGAAATCAAATAAATGTAATTTTATTGTAGTCGTATGATTAAACAAGCGAAAGTTCTCGCTATTTCAGTAATTAGATTTAAAAAATATTGATAGTCGCTTAGTAATTTCTAAAAAAATCTGAATTTGAAATTTTAGTTCCAACTTTCAGATTATTTTTTATTTTCAGATTACTTAGTGCTTAAAATTTTTTTTTTGGAAATCCTATGTTTTAAAAGCTTTCATTTTTCTTTGAATCCAATTGTTAATTGTTAGAGAGAAAGGGAAGAAGAGTTTTAGTATTGTTTTCTTAATAGTGTATCAATCTTGAAGGTGACCCAGACGATAGTTGGACTTTTATCCGTCCCTTAATGTTGAGGGACAGCCAGACTTGTCTTTAGATTTGCATACTATAGCCATAAATTCTTTGTTAGGTGCTATTAATTTTATCATTACTACTTAAAAAGCAACTGTCACTCTGACTCAGGCCAATACGTTTGCTTGAACTATCATTTCTAAATAATCAATGAATTGAATTAGTTGTTATAAAAATGGAATTCATTTCTATCGTTTCAATATTTAATTAGTTTGTTAATTATAATATTTGAGAAGTTTTTATGGAATCTCAATTTATTTCAGACTTATCTTGTCTACAAAAAGAGTAATTCTAAATTCTTGCCAGTTGCAAAACTTAAGTTAAAAATATTGTATACATATGAAAATAATAAATCATTGAGCTCTGTAATGATTGTTGGTTTGCAAAATTAGCTATCAATTAAAAAAAATTATGCTTAATGTTTCTGATCAAACATGATTGTCATCCGACATAATCACCATTTTCATTATCTAATTAATAAATCATAATTGATCGGTCAACTAATCATTTATATAACTTTTATGAATAAAATTCTGAAATTAAATTTACATAAACTAAAAGAATGACATAAAATTGCAATATTAACCTTCTATTGCAGTGTGGTGAGCAAAACAAATCCTTTAGCAATCCGTCTACCACCCGGAACAATGATCGAAGGGCGCTTTTTATTCGAGACATTATCCATGGGTCGTTACAGTACTGTATTTAAAGTTGAAGATAAACTTAATAATTGTCAAAAATATTGCATAAAGGTTTTGACAAAAAAATTTTTTTTCTTTTGCAAATTCTATGAGAAAATTAAAATTTATAATGTGATATTTTAAAAGTAAAGTTATGTGCATAACCAAATATTAATCTATGCAAACGGAATACATTCATTTAAAGCAATATTTTTCGTGTTTTAATTTCATATGCTTATTTTTACAGAAGATTATATTTTGAAATATACTCTTATAGTTTTGAAATTATGCAAAGAGTTGAAGAAAAAAAGGAAACTTTTCGAAGTAATCTTAACTTTTAATCATTCAAAGTAATTTTTTTTAGGCAGAATATGATCGGGGACCAAAAATTAATTATTTGCATCAAGAAATCGCTGTGCTACATAAGTTAGAAACACGTGAACATATGGCTAGGTTATATTATTGTGAACGTTGTGAACCGGTATGATTCCTATAACTGATAATAATATTAGAAAGTATGAAATGATCAAGGATTTAATTTTAGAGAAATGGTATATGAGAAAACTTGTTGCTAAATCAAGAAAAAGTTGAGGAAATGGAGAAATGGAAGACTTAAAGATTTATTGGAAACAAATTTGAATATTGCATCGAAACATGTTTTGTAAAATCTAGAGTTTGCACAGATAAAAAATTAATATTATTAATGATTAATTTGATCAAATGGACTAAGTAAAATTTTAAATAATTTTTAATGACAATATATTGTTTAGTTTTCATTCATGCTAACAACGCTATTCGGTAAAAGTATTTGGACATTGCGGCAGAATTTACCGAATAAATTAATGTCGCCGGGTTGTGCAGCTCGTATTGCCGTGCATACATTATATCAAATCAAACAAATACATGAAATTGGCTACATTTTGAGAGATTTAAAAATTGGTTTGTTTTATTTTATATTGAAATGTTAGAACACTAGTGATATTTTTCCGCAAATTAATCAATAATACGTTTATTTAACAACTAACTATTTAA